TTAGATTACTTCAAAGAATTTTGCGTGCATGTGTGCCCATCTGTGCGCGTGGGTCGCAATTGTCATCTTTGTTACCGGTTTTCTTGCGAGCTAGCTCACTAGCATCGCGTCAACTACGTAGCGTATCTAAATGACATAAACTGCCGTTGTTAAGTTATGTCAATCTACGTATTTATATCCGCTATGAGAGTGGCAAAAACGAAATGGTTGTCACATTCTTCTGACGTCTATCACATAAGATAGAGGATGTTGCGTATGACCGTCATCCTGTACATGATCTATTCCGTGTGATTGAATCGCGTTGACATTCACTAATGACGTTTCTATCCACCTGTCTGATTATTACAAGTGATTATCTTTTCTTTTCCATTGAATGTGAATGCCGGATAATATATTAGGAATTTCTTTTAAAATATATTTATTAATTAATTTTTTTGTATATATACAGAGTAATTCGTTTCCTGTCAAAAATTTTATTGCAATATAGATTTTTATGCTTTTATTAATTTATTTAGCATTTAACATAAAGTACGACAATTATATAGTTACAATGATATTTATGGATTGTTTAGAAGTCTGAAATAATACTGTAGAGATACGCAGTTGTTCGTTAAATGACAGCTGCTATTGTCTAGCTCATCTTTTACCGGTAAAATAGAGAGCGTGTTTAGAAAGCAAGTGGAACTTTCGCTAACGATCTGCGGCTTGTGTTAACCGCAAAACCATAAATAAACCATGGCCATAATATTTGACCGTGGTCCACTGAAACTGAGTTCAAGGTTGCACATCTTGTTATTACAGTCCAAAAATTTTAGCGCGAAATATTAAAAAATAAGCACAGTTGTCTGCAATACTATTATGCAAATTATCTGTTTTTCGCTCGATTAATTGCTCATCAATATATTAATAAAAGCAAACAAAACTTTGTTTTATAGATTTCGTAACGACAAGTTCTCAGTTTCATTGCATTAGACAGCTAATAAAACATGATACATCTCGACATAGTGTTGAAAATAAATCATCGATCCAATTTACTTTCGCGATTGTATCCACGCGCGCACGTTTCAAACTTAGATAATATATTTAGCAACGGTCATTCACACATACATACAAACATGCTCACAAGCTGTTTGGCGTGGTTTGATTTAACACTTTACTCGACCCTTTCATTTTCGATGACTTTCACCCAAGCGCTCACAATCTACTTTTACCGCAAAATCGAATATATACGATGCATAATGTATATCCTTGTTTATTAAATTATATACTTCGTTGTAAACGTTTATTATACAATTGAGTTCGTAAAAATCTTAAATTTATTATTAATGATATTACGACAGCGTGCAGATCCTGCGTACGAAATGTTTCGCCGGAATTGACATTTCATTAGGATTACCTTTCAAGCGAAACTAACGTTGTACATGGTCATTATGCATATCGACGTGATTGGATACGCAAAGTGACGAGAATAAGAAATGCAACCTAATACATATGAGATTTATTCAACCTTTTCAGGAACAATTCTTTTGAGTTGCGAATAGAAAAGATAAGTTAGATAGAACGTGATACGCGATAATAGAAGTGTATTCGAAGCATGACTTGGAAAATTGCAATTAATATCGCTATTTTTACAAGCCGTCTTCTCTAGATAGGATCACTCGTGAGATGTTACTGCGCGCTGAAGAGTAATCTTGTCTTCATTTTTATGGGCATTTAATCGCAAACATGCCGATTGCGATTTCACAGCGGCACGTGGTTCATAATCGGAGCGGAGAAAACGCCGCAGGTGGATAACACGTAGCCGCCGTTCGTGATGTAACGAAACGTTTATATACATCGTGCACAACGACGCCGCCGCCTTTCCTACTTTTCCAATTTCTTCTCGCGGAAGCGCCTACCGCGCGTGATTCAACTGCGGCACGAAACGAAAAATGACATGCCGTCGGGCGGTGGCCCGTTATTCTTACCTCGTAAAAATTGTATGTTCGCATAGTCAGCAACGCCTTGAGCCGTCAAATTGTGCCAGGTAATACTTCACCCGCGCAAATGCAGGAATGCGGTATTCAATTCGTGTAATTATTATCTGTAAGAATCTACTCACTTTCTTAATAAACAAACTTTAATCTATAATCTTAGTAAAATAGTGTGGCTTTAATGGCAAGATAAGTAATTGTCTCTTTATACTTTCTTTATTTCATAATAAAACGCAAATTATATCAGTATACTGCATGTAATACGACGTATCGGAGTTGCAAAATCACAGCCGTGGCAAATGTTCGTAACGTATGAAACTTGTATGCAACTATTATAGATACTTATAAGAACTATTATAAATACAACTATTATAGAACTATTATAGATACACTTTATTTCCGAAAACACGCGAAATCTATTTATTCAAAGAAGAAAACTCGCGCCGGTGTCTATAAATAATCAAATTCGTTATGCTGTACGATATAATGATTATTATGGACTCTGATCACGTGTTTTCTTCTTCCAATAAATGTAGATTTATGGAGGAACGCGGATATGTGGTTACGTACAAGTTATATACTCACAAATGTTTTCTACGGCTGCGATTTTATCACAAACAAATATTCGACACGCCTGTTTCAATCTCCATTCATGCGTGCTAATATTTTCGTTTTGTGATTCATATTCCAACCAGCGAAAGTGGATGACACTGCGAGGATTGGGGAAATAAAGTGACAACTTAACACATTTTCGCAATGATATTTTTCTTTCGATTATGCTTACAAATAATACAAAAAGAAAACAACGTAACGTAAGACTCTTCTTTACGAAGATTTATGCGCAATTGTCGTATCATTAATTATGCGTATGTATCATTAATTGTAAGTATGAATTGCTAAGTAGTCGCTATGCATTTTAACGCTAACGAGTATTATTTACAGTATGAGTAGACAACCGCCGCACTGAGCCCGTTATAGCAACGACGTGATTGCGATTAAACTACGAAATCATTTATTAAGACGTAAGTATCTCCTTACGGTGATACGTTAATCTCCTCAGAAATGTGCATCGAATTGCGTTTTGCGGGAATACGAACTGTAACGATGCTGTCAATTATACTTGACAGTGCTCTTGATAACTGTTGAAACCATTTTCTGATTAATTTTAAATGAGTTTTGCTTTAAATGTCTTGTTTGAGAATTAAATGCAAATGTACTCGAGATATTGGAATTTCAATTAACTGAGCCTTACTAACAGTATATCTGATTTTTAATAATTGTAAAACGTTTCTTGTTAAGGTTTTGTTGAAGGAAAATTAATTATAGCTCTCTTCATTAAATCTCCGTAATGATATAACACATGTCCGACAAATCTTGTATAGTTTTCTTTAATGACTGTGGTAAACGTGATTTCATCGATATACACGATCTACCGCCGTTTCCTTCCCGGACTTGATATACATATATTTCCGCGGGTTGAGCAGTCGAAACGCATTAAACTCGAATCGATTCTCACACTTGTGACAGAGAATGCAAATAGAAAGTTCGTGGCGGTTACAGCGCGAATAGAATGTTGTCCCTATAAACCCAACTACGCCGATAACAGTGTATGTATTGCAGTTTCCTCGACGGTCGACTCGGGTGAACCCTACTCGCAGCAAGCTTGCAAAATTCCACATTGCAAAAGGGTAAAGTAATTGCCGAGTAAACTTCCTATCGAAGTGATGTCCCCGTATCGAGTATCGAAATTAACTACCCAGTTAAAACGCGAGCAATATGTTTGTGTCGCGGAATTTAAAGACGTAACTAAGTAGACAAGCCTAGCAATTTTGAAAGTTTATATTAGGAACGTTACGAATTATTAAATCGGCGAAGCTTCTATTATGATTATTATAAGATTTTATATAACGTTATTTATTCTTAAAATCAGAAATGTACGTGATAATTTCAAATTGAGTAGAAATTTAAAAAAATTTTAAATATAGATTTTGAATTTATTTTTTAGTTGAAAAATGTAAAATATAGTGATGTACATTAAAACGTACGTATTTAAAAACATAATAACTTCAAATTAAAGCGAAAATTTGTTTTTTAACTTGAAGAATATAAAGAATTGACGTACAATTTATCTTTTGTAACACTATGCACATAGGCGCCGACTTGCGAAAAATATTGGGGTGACGCTAAGAAATATTAGGGGGGAACATAGCAATATCCACTTTTTTTGCGGTGATACTGATAGAAATAAATCATTGAAATAACTAAAATCTATCAAATTAGTGAAAATTTTAATGATTTTAGTGATTTATTTTTATCAAGAGCATCGCAAAAAAAAATGGATAATGTTGTGTAGTTGACATCCACTTCTTCAGAAGACTGTAGTGCACAAGGTATTTTGCGGTTACAGGAAAAAGGCATTCATGTCCTCTCTCAGGTTTCTCTCTGGTACGTGTATGTGCAGGTACACTAGGGGTTCCTTCCAAGGGCATGTTCGGATTCCCACATGGGTGCTCCCGAGTGTCATGTCATTCTTGTTTAACAAACGTTAAACAAGGATGACATGATATACGAGGAGTACTCTAATGGAAATCAAAACACGCCTCAATAAGCGACTCACAATCAGTACAACAAAATAATCATCTCATCCTTGTTTAACATTGGCGAACAATAAGAATGTAATGATACACTGTGTTACACTGTGTCATTACATCGTCTCTTGTTGGAAGGCACCCTAGGACAGCAGACGACGTGCCAGGCTGACACTGCCAGCGCGAGCATCTTAGTATGTTTTGTGACGAGTATCACCACTTTTAATTGGCCGCGTCAACGTTATGTATAACATGTCATGTGGCCGATGTTTTCTCACAGTTTTGATCGTAGAAATTATTTGCAATTGTTAAAACACCGTTTGTTAAAAAAGCAAAAGGTAAAAATTATTGAGGG